CCAACCAACCCACCCACCCACCCACCAACCAACCAACCAACCAACCAACCCACCCACCCACCCACCAACCAACCAACCAACCCACCCACCCACCCACCCACCCACCCACCCACCCCCACCCACCAACCAACCAACCCACCAACCAACCAACCCACCAACCAACCAACCCCCCCACCCACCAACCAACCAACCCACCTCCCCACCCACCAACCAACCAACCAACCAACCCACCCACCAACCAACCAACCAACCCACCAACCAACCAACCCACCAACCAACCCACCCACCAACCAACCAACCCACCAACCAACCAACCCACCCACCAACCAACCCACCCACCAACCCACCCACCAACCAACCCTCCCACCCACCAACCAACCAACCAACCAACCAACCAACCCACCCACCAACCAACCAACCAACCAACCAACCAACCCACCCACCCACCCACCAACCAACCAACCAACCAACCAACCAACCAACCAACCCACCCACCCACCAACCAACCAACCAACCAACCAACCAACCCACCAACCAACCAACCAACCCACCAACCAACCCACCCACCAACCAACCAACCAACCAACCAACCCACCCACCAACCAACCAACCAACCCACCCACCCACCAACCAACCAACCAACCAACCAACCAACCCACCCACCAACCAACCAACCAACCAACCCACCCACCCACCAACCAACCAACCAACCACCCACCCACCCACCAACCAACCAACCAACCAACCCACCCACCCACCCACCCACCCACCCACCCACCCACCAACTAACCAACCAACCCACCCACCCACCCACCAACCAACCAACCAACCCACCCACCCACCCACCCACCCACCAACCAACCAACCAACCAACCAACCCACCCACCCACCCACCCACCAACCAACCAACCAACCAACCCCCCCACCCACCCACCAACCGACCAACCAATTCTCTGCTGGCTGTTAGCAAATAAAAAGTTTAATGAGTTTGAAGATTGTAACTAAACTTAAATTGGAAGTTTATCCTAATTAGATTTTAGGCAATGAGAAAAAAGGTTAGGAGTATTTTCATAGAGTGGATGAAATGATGTCCTCTGTGGGAATAACTGGATATCTTTCATGAGGGGAACTAAAAAAATAAAAATTTGTTTAATGAACTCTAATCTAATTGGTCAGAAATCTTTAAACTAAAAGGTTTTGATGAGGTCACTTTAATCAGCAATTATTTTATTTACACAAAGACCAACAATAAGGAATCCTCATTTAGATATAGAATTCTCAAAACTTCCTTCCTTCCTTCCCCGTCCTTCCCCCCCGATCCCCCCCTCCCACCCATTTGTCCTCCTCCCTCCCGTTAAGGTCAGGATGATGCTAAGTGTCTATCAGCGTTGATGAGGCTCAGGAGACTCCTTTGTTCTCAATGAGGGTGAAAATCTGAAACAGCCATGGAGCGAACGGCAGAGCCCCCCACCCCACCTCCATCTCATCATCCCTCCATCCTTCATCCCATAGCCCAATCAATCGCTCCCTTTGCCTAACAACTCTATTGATCAGATGCACTAACAACATCTTTCATTTATTAATTATGAGAGAAAGTCTTCCAGGGATTTGGCTTTCACCCCCCCCCACCCCCCTCTCGCATTCCTGCTCCTGATCCCTGAACTTATCCTTCCATTTCTTTTCTTTCCAGATCTTTTAATTTCACCAAAAAACACCACAGAGTCAGGTCAATAAGGAAATTGTTGAAATGCTGCAGAAAAACTTTAATGTTAACTGTTGCAAGTTGTTTTGCTCCTTTGTCCAATAAACGCTCTTTTCTTTTGTCACTTGAGTTTTAGTTAAGCAGGGAGGTTAAAAACCATCATTTGTTTCATGTTCAGCATTTTTAGAGTTTTAATTGTGAAAAATGTTCAGATGAATTCTAAAGCTTGAAAATCAAAAACACATCCATGAGGGATGATGGATGGATGGATGGATGGATGGTGTAAATGGTAAATGGCATGTACTTACAGTATATAGCTCCTTTATTCAAGTCAGCAGACTTGACCAAAGTGCTTTACACTACATTCATTCACCCATTCACGCACACACTCACACACTGATGGTGGCAAGCTACATTGTAGCCACAGCTGCCCTGGGGCTCACTGACAGAAGCGGGGCTGCCGTATACTGGTGCCACCGGGCCCTCTGACCACCATCAGTAGACAATGCAGGTGAAGTGTCTTGCCCAAGGACACAACGACACTGAAAGTCGGAGTCAGGGCTTGAACCGTCAACCCTTTGATTTTAGGGCAAACTCCTACATCCAACGCCACTGTCGCTCAGTATGATGGATGGATGGATAGATGGACGGATGAATGGATGGACGGATGGACGGATGGATGGACGGATGGATGGATGGATGGACGGATGATGGACAGACGGATGGATGGATGATGGATGGACTGTAGGTCAGCGTGGACTCCTGTCCTCCTGTCCTGGACCTGGACTCGTGTCTCTCTGTCCTCATTGATTCCTGCAGCCTCGCTGACAGGCTGATAAATCGGCTCTTTATTAAGAGGCTGTCTCATTCTGGAAGCCAGAGATCTGAGAGAAGAACAATTCAGTTCAGCTCAATAGACGTTATGCCTCCCTGAAGGGAAACCTTCATTAGAGGCATAAAAACACTGATTAAAGAGCAAAACATGATCTGACATTTATAAACTGGGCCCAGAATGCAGCGACAGGCTTCATATAGTTTAGAGTGATTTATCAAAGTCATCATGCTACGGTTGGTTTTACTGCCTTCATTTAGACCCAAGCATCTATACTTGGACAGCATTTAACCCAAGCACAGAAAAACAAATGCATTCTGGGAGAAAACCCCCGGAGAACTAATCCCACAGCAGAAATCCTCTCCTACTTCTCACCAAACCAGAGACGCTCTTTCTGTTTCCAGATGATTAAATAGGTTCATCAGACCTCCTTTAAGGCAGGTGCTGGGTCAGTTATCTTTTCTGGAGCGCACTGGTATGGTCTTACTGGCCAGATGGACAACAGCGATTACCATAAACAGGAAACTGGTGCTGCACATCAGTCTTGTTAGGGTTCAAATCTCACCTCCACCTCGGAAAACCCCAGCCTAAAGATTAAAGTTTATAACAGAACTGGTAGAACAAGACTGATTTGTTTGGAAGGAGACGTATTTGGAGAAGGCTAAACCCAGCATGTTAACACTAACACCTCGTACCTGCGGTACATCTACACCTTAAGGACAAAGGACATTCTTTTGAAAAATGTTCACTAATGGACAAAGAAAACAGGTGGTTTGAGAGGGACGTGAAGGAAGCCATCTATGTTAAGAAAGAAAAACCAACTTTAAACAGCCTGAACTGCAGGACAAGTGAAGAGAAGCTGATCTGGGAGCTGGCAGGGAGTCAGACGCAGCACTGCTGATGCAGAGCGCTATGATCACTCCTCTGAAACAGTTTATTAACGCCTAAATTAACTTCAAATGTAGAAACCTGCCGGCAGAATATGTTGGCTTTTATTATCCTGCTGCCTGCAGTTTGTAGCACAGACCTGAAAAACGCTGACATCTACTTCCAGCCGCCACCAACAGGAGGGGAAACCCCTGGAGAGGCTCCCGGGCCTGAGGCAGCTGCTGCTGGGGATTCCCAGTGACAGCGCAGCGCCGGTATGTGGGGGTCTGAGCGGCTCCCACAGAGAAATACTCTTTGAAGGCAGGATGGTAATCTGGATGAACTGACTGCACAGACCATGTTTTCAGGAGGACTTTCTCACTTCAACAGAGATTCTAAATACTTTCTACCCGCTGATCACAGCTAATATAGCCGCCATTGTTCCAGGCAGAGAAAGGATAGAGTAGCTCCGCCCACCGCGCATCAGAACCACTTTACCACCGCGCAGCTAGAGCAGCAAAGATGCTTCAGCCGCGCATCAGAACTAAACGCTGCGTGCAATCTGAACGTAGCATGAGTTAGCGGCTTCATCCTCAAGGCACCATGGGGGGCAAATGCACACCTTTGTTGGACCGTCTTGTCATACTGTCCTGGGCTGGGGGGGTTTAGAGCAAAGTCAGCTGTAGAGTTAAACTTTGATCTTCCTCACACAATTGAAATGACTAATTTGGACAATGGTTCTGTTGTGATCCATTGTCGCTAATGTAACCAGAACCACCCCCCTCTGATGACACCCCTCCGGCGTTTTAAAAGGTCCAGCTTCCCGTATCAACGTCCTATTTTGTCGGGGGCTCTGTGCCGCTAGAGGCTAGACAAAGGGCTTCCAGACGAAGGCGACGCTACGTAGCAACCAAATCCCTCCAGAGAGGTCTGCGCTCACTGGGCCTATTTCCTGTGATTCAGAAGGAGCTGAACGCAGTGTTTTTATTCAAACCGAGTAAACTCAGTGTATCCTGAATCCTGCTGCAGCAGAGACGGAGAAGAGCTAATCCAGCTCTGCTAACCGCTGAACGACGGGAGCCCCGATTGCTGTTCGCTGAGGGAGCCCTCAGAAGCCGCCACAGCGTGACTGCCTGAGGCGCAGCAGCAGAGGTGGTTAGCCTTAGCTGCTGGAGGCTGCAGCTAAGGCTAACCACCGTAGCTAAAATGGGAGATGTCCCGTGAGTTATAAAATTAACCCCCTTGCAAAATTGCCTCTTATTGTTGCATCCGGATTGATCCAAATCTCTTTGAGTTGGTGATTAATAACTCTGCTGAAGGCCATAGCCTAGATTACTAAATTGGTAAAAGACAACTGAATTTTTAACAGCCGTGTTAAAGCATCTAAACTTTTAGGTAAGGAGTTAAAACCCTGGTCAGTAAGCAAATTACAGTTATAATCATTCAACTGATAATAACTAGCTTTACCCTTGATTTGAATTACAGATTAATTAACTATAACTTCAAGTTCTAGTTATTTTATATGTTCATAATCTTCAGGTAAATTTTCACAACAGTTCCCAATTTCTAAAATTGTTACCATGCTTTACAGCAAAATACCTGTCAAGCACGGCGGTGGAGGTGTGTTATTCCGGCTCATCTTTAACTCAGACAACTTTTTGCATTTTCAAATGAAAAACGACCATGAACTCCTCTGAGAATCCAAAAACTCCTTACTGAGCCGTGAACTCTGCCGGACCGACCCAGCAGGAGCAAACCTCTGCTGCCGTCTGGGAACCCAAGCAAAAGTTAGGGTAGAAAAGGAGATTCTACGAACTGATCAGTTAAAATATTAAACTAGGGCTTTAACTTCGTAAATCTGGTGGAAAGTGTTTCCTCTCTGTCTGTTTTTTTCCCCCCTGATGTCCTGTCTCGTCCTGCCCTCGGGGGCGCTGTCACGCCATTGGGGTGTGACATGACAACCAATTATTGACTAATTAATCAAGCTCCAGTGCATAGCTAATAGCTCTCAGGGAGGAGAAATAAAGACCAGGAGAAGAAAGATGATGAAACTGAAAGATTAAGAGAAATTATTTATTTCTTTAGAATTTTTCATTAACCTGTAAAAAACATAAATGGCGTCATTCTTTGAATTCAAAATGTCTGCCATGCTGTTATTCATTTGAACCTAAATCTATCATCTGCATCATGGAGGTAAGTGATGCACAGAAGCTTTGGAGAGAAAGTTCTGCATGGTTCTTGGAGCTGACAGGTCCACTTGGGAAACCCGGAGCTCTTCCTGGAGGAACACAAAGTAGAGAAGATGTTCATCTAAATGTTCTATAAAGATATTCTGTCTCGCTGTCTTTATCAGATCTTTGATATCAGAGATCTGATTGTTCCTTATGTTCCTAACAGAGCACTTCGCTCTCAATCTGCAGGTTTACTAGTGGTTCCTAGAATTTCTAAAAGTAGAATGGGAGGCAGATCTTTTAGTTCTCAGGCTCCTCTCCTGTGGAACCAACTACCAGTTTTAGACCGTGAGGCAGACACCCTGTCTACTTTTAAGGCTAGGCTTAAAACTTTCCTTTTTGATAAAGCTTCTAGTTAGAGTGGCTCAGGTTATCCTGAGCTATCTCTATAGTTCTGCTGCTATAGGCTTAGACTGCTGGAGGACATAGGGACCCCTTTTTCATCATTCTGCTTCATTCTATCTCTATTCTCCCACTCTGCAGAATCTGTTAGTTCAATCTCTAACGTTCTGCTCTCTCTGCTTTTTCTCATAGTAGCTTCATCTGGTCTGTTCCTGTTTGGCTGTGACTCCATCCTGGAGATAAATATCAAGGCCAAGCTCAGATGAGCCCTTTGGAGATTTACTTGGCTTTTCCTTACCATGAGATAAGAGCAGGAGTCCCCAGCTCAAGCCAATGAGAGATTCCTTCTACTTATAGATGTTTTTCCAACAAACATAAATCAGATGGATGATAGAAAGCATGCCGAGGAAGGAGATCATGCATCTTAAAGTCTCCTTCCTGGTCTGGCACCACCTGGTGTCTCTGGAAGGAACAGGGATGTCTGGACTTCCCTCTAGGACCTTTTAGAGAATCAAATGTTCTATTTTTTAGACTCATAAACCTCTGCTGTGTATAAATGAAGCATAAAACAACAAAGTTGTACTCTGGCCTTTCCAATCGCAGCAGAGAGAGAGCGCTGGCTCTCTAAAAATAAATGCACTAACTAAGGGGCAGGGTTGGGGGGGCCCGGGGCCCTGTGGCCGGCTGAATGGAAGTATTGATGAGAACAGAGCAGAGTGTTAGAGCCGCTGGCGAGAGGCCACAGTAAACCTACCGATCGATTGTTTTCAGCCCATCTCTCAGCGTGATTACACACACTGATGGCGAGGATGCTCTGAGAGGCCTTCATCTGCTTTAACTTGTCAGTGGACAGGATCTGTGCCCACTGTGGGAAAGATAAATACCACAGTGGATCCTCCACACCGGGTGGAACTCACTGAGACAAACTTAACATTTCTCACTGAGATTTACTCTGATTTCAGCTGGATTTCTACATAAAGCTGAGACAAGCAGAGTTTTCAGCTGAGTAGAGCCCCCTGCTGGCATGGAGGCCCCAGCAGAACCCTGATTGCTAATAATACCTTTATGTTTCCAGACTCTAAATGTGTTGGTGATATATATCTTCTGCCGCTCATGTTAACTGGGACTGCTGGTAAGCCGACCAATGATCCAATCTGTAGACGGTTTTACATTGTATAATGATGTAATTCTGAATTAAGTTCACCTGAATTTAATTCACATTTTCTCACCACTCAGCACAATTCCAAAAAAGTTCAAAATCAATCCACTGGACCTTGTTTCCAAGTCTGAGGACATTTCTCTTCCCATCCAGGAAGCTTTTTCAATTCAAAATGTCAGAAATAGCGTTTAGTTCCAGGCTTATAGAGTGGACATAAAACAAAGCCTAGTTTTAGTTTAGAAAACATGCAAATTCGACCTGACGAGCAGGTCCACCCCTTTGGAATGGGATCATTTTGTTCCTTTGTTAGCCTGAAATACACTAATCCTGTTTATGTCTCTAGTAGATTTTGTTTGCATAGTACGTTTAGGCATGATGAACCTTTTATCGTCTACAAATGACCTGGACTGGTTTTTCTTCCTGGTTTGACCCTTATATAGAAGTGTTCCAGATGAATCTACTGGTTAATCACCAGGAATGAGATCATTGTCTGCAGAAAAGGCTGGTTTGTCTAAAGCAAGGTGACCTATTTCAAAGCACAAGGTGGTGAAGTCATGATGATGCTTCATGTCTGCAGGATGGCTGTTAGGGGAAGTTTTATAATACCTGCGGATCATCTGAGGTTGGTCTAACGGCTAAAGGTCTGTAAGAGAGAAGAACAAACTTAGGAGAAGGATGAAAAGGAGACATCACTGCTGATGTGACTGGTTTCCACCATGCTCAGGAGAAAACGTGCCCATTCAGAGAAGCACCAGAGGTTTTACCTTTAAAAGTATGACATTAATTTTCCCATCTTGCCTGAGAGAACAGCATTTAAAAAAGACTATGGTTTGAGAACGCATCCATTCATCTCGTATTCCCACTTCTGCCATACAGTGTAGGGGTCTCCATCTCCAGCAGAGTTTGGGTTTGAGACAGTTGTCATGAAGCCGGACAGAAGGACCCAGTATTCAAGGTGAGACAGACAGTGGGAAAACTCAGAGTGTTTATTTAAAACTCTGATTGGGCTGTGGACCCGCTGTATCAGCGGCTAGGGTGGGGCACCGTCCATCACCGGAAACCCTGGTTGGAGAAAAACCAAAATTATCATTACCATGATTATCTGACAGATGATGATTATCCATATAAGTCACTAGTTGGTTTAAAACCTCTTAAATCCCACCTAACTTTAGGTAATCCTCACCTGTTTTGCATATACAACTGGAAAAGCAAATAACTGAGGAACCGTAAGCCCAAATTACATCTAAACGTAATTGTAATTGTGAAACGTAAAAATATAAAACGTTTCAATAAGTGAATAACTACTTGGTGCGTCATTGACTGATAGGGAAGGAGGTTGTGAGACTTCATCGGCTGTCCCTGACTCAAATTGAGTCATAAAAGATGAGGGCACTTTTGTCTTGGAGTTAGGAAAACACCAAATGTTGCCGACAAACGTTTAAGGAAGTAAGTCTTAAAAATAAGCTAAGCATTAGCTTTGATCAGCCAACTTTTCTGACCTCAAAAACTGAACAAGCAGGAGTTAGAGTCAGGTCAGGGAAACAGATCAGCACAGGAACAGGCAGGCTCAGAGGTCAGATAATTCAGGCAGACCGTTCAGACGCGAGGAGGCAGGCTCAGTGGCTGAGAGGCAGATCAGGTCAGGATATCAGAAACACTGTCATACGCTAAAAACCTCTCTCTCCACTGGCCAGCGAGAACAAGGTAATCAGGACCTGATAGCTGGATGCAAATAGATTCAATAGAGGCAGAAATGGGTGAGCAGCAATGAGCAACCGGGAAGAATAGACAGGTGAATAGAATGAGCAATTAAGCCAGCAATTAGTGCCAAGATCATGGCATGAAAGTGTACAAGTACAATTTTTAAAACGGCTTAAAGTATAAAAGTAAAAGTAATGCAGGAAAAAGAAGCTTTACTGCTCCACCCTATTAAAGGAACATTTTTCTACAATTCTGGATGATAACTTCCTTAGACTTAATTTTCTTAGTTTTATAACTAATGGTAACAGAGTCACTTTGCATCATCTTGAAAAACTATTTATTTTGGTATGTGTTGAGCAACAAGTTGGGGCAGCACCGAGTCCAACCACAAGGAAATTAATTGTCTGGATAAAACAAATTATTTTGGTGTTTTTTATTTTTTTAAATACCAACAGGCCATAATGAAAATAAGCTTAAATTAAACAAAACTTATGAATCTATTTTTAAAATGTAAGGAGTAGAACGACGTCTAAAACTTACTCCAGTAAAGTATTGATAGCCAACAACGAGGCGACATTGTTGGTTTGATGGTTTGCTTCCACTGCTGATTCATCAGTAATCAGCCCTATACCTGCAGGTGTTTCTGAACAGCCTTATTGTTACACCTGGAACAGCTATAAGATGCATTAACCCTCAAAATGAGTCCAGATTAAAGAGTTTCATTTAAAAACAGTAAGATTTGTTTCTACTGTATTCCATGAAATCTAGTCATCCACCATGACCTGACAATGAGTGAAAAGAAAAAAGAAACTAAAAAACTGATTGTTTGCGCTCACGTGGCCCCGCGATGCACAACTAGGGGCCCCGCAGGCACGGATGGACTGGGAATCCAGGGCTGTTGGTCAGCCTCATTCATTACTCAGACAGGTTAATCAGCTCGTTATCTCAAGAAATCAAAAACTGTTTTCTAGTGATATTGAGATAATTGTGTCATTATAACGAGAAAAAAAAGGAAAAAAGAAGTCAAGTACGACAGCTCTCAGCTTCTGTACGCGGACCGCTAGTGGTACGAGAAACCCCGTTTGGGAATCACTACTATATAAAACTGTTTAGGATGTAGTTGCATGATGGCCTAATGCTGCAAAAAATTGTTATAACTTGTAAACATTTTGTCAGACGGAGTTCAGCTTTTCTTTTCTTGTCTTAAATACAAAAAAAGTTC